CTAGTGTATGACCAATCCATCCCCATTTCTTCCTGCCTATTTGTTTCACAATCGGTTCCTGGTTGGTTTGCCCCCATATGTCCCTATTCCTGATCTTTTCTGGACATCTGATCTTGAGTACTGAGCGAAGACAACTGTTAATGAAGGTCTGTAGTTTGTTTGAGATGCTCTTTATGACGCGCCAAGTCTCTAATCCGCATAGTAGCACTGACTGACTTCACATTGGAGTTGAAAATCCGGATCTTAATTTTGATGCTGAGTAGTGCTGTTGACCTCCACACACACTTGAGAGTAGTGAAAGCTTGTCTTGCTTTTCCGATTCTTGCCTTGATATCCTCGTTAGTTCTGTCCGCCTGTAGTTGAAACGATGCTTCCCAGGTATGTGGGTAAAAGAGGTTGTTTCTTTCAGGTTCCTCCTATTTATGCTGATCGTTGTCTGTTGTTGTTGTTGCTGTTGGTGGTGTTGCCCAGGAATCTTCATCACCTCTGTTTTCTCTATGTTCACCTGAAGTCGTGTCTTTGATGCTTCTTCTTCTGTCAACTTGTTGCTTTTCGCTTGCATATCTTCCATTTTGTGGGAAATCAGACATATATAATCGTTTAAGTCCAGGTCCTCCAAGTTTTTTGTGTCAGTCCATTTTATGGCTGCTTCCTCATTGCCCGCTGTTTGTCGCGTTGTCCAGTCTACTGCAATCAGGAAAATCATTGTCGATAGTAGGCAGCCGGCTTGTTTTACTCCTGTCCTCACTTCGAAGGATTCCGTAAGTTTCCCGTTGTGGATTATTTGGCATGCAGCATTGTCGTACAGCTGTTGGATGAGATGTATAATTGTCGGTGGCACCCCGTAGTAGCGAAGTAGTTGCCAAAGCACCTCTCGATCGACGCTGCACTATCGAAGGCCTTTTCAAAGTCGATGAAGTTGAGATAGAGAGGTGACTGCCATTGCAGGCTTTGTTCAATGATGATTCGTAATGTGGCGATCTGATCAATGCATGACTTGTTTCTCCTGAATACAGCCTGTTCCGGTCGAAGTTTTTCATCCAATGTGGCGTGTTTAATCCTCTGCAGGATAATGCAGCCTAGTATTTTGCTTGGGATGGACATGAGCATAATTCCGCGCCAGTTCTTGCACTGACGTAAGTCTCCTTTCTTTGGTAGTTTGAATAAGTATCCTTTCTTCCAATCCTCGGGTACTTTGCCTTCTTTCCATACCTTCTCCATTAGCGTCGTCATCAAACCTGCTGTTGTCTCTGGGTCCATTTTCAATGCTTCTGCTGGGATTCCATCTGGTCCTATAGATTTAAGTAGATCGCATAAAATAGATGTGGACAGTTGTCATGAATTCATAGGAATCCTGTTTATGTGATAGTTAGTTTGTTGATTGATTGTATGTCTAAGCTGTGAGTAATTTACGAATCACTTACTCATTCCATGGTAAACATCTCCGGTCAAGTCAACTGTCCACACTCTAATTAAATCACAAAGTGACGCCAGTTAGATGACCAATGAAAACCGGGGAGTCCAAATTTGAGACACCTAAGAGAGTGGGATCCTCAGGTGAGCCAGGTGAGCCCACTGACAGAAATCAGCCGCCTATGGAGTCTAACACCTTCATGAGTGACAACCTCAGGATCCCAGATTCCACCCCTAGTGGAGTTATGGGTATGTGCTTCTGAATAGTCGCCAGCCAGTAGGAAATGGTAATTCAGTACTCTCTGGTTTTCCAGCTGATCTCTAACTTGCATCAGTTCATAATGAGACTCGAAATCAGTCTGCAGGAAGCTTTGGTGTGTGATTCTTGTGGGCAGGGCCTTTTGATCCCATCTCATTGGTAATATTCTTCTTGATTCTAAGTATTTGTTTCATATGTAAAAACCTCCATTACCTATAATGCTGCCTTACAGCACTTTAACGACCAGATTTATCCAGTTATGGTCTGAACACAAGGAACCAATCTCTACGTTCTAATGTATAGTTGGTAAAACTTCGTTGAGACACGCGCTATCACGAAGTGTTCCAAAAGCAGGAAAAAACCGTTTATTCTTCAATATTTTAGCACACTAATTTCATTTTCCAGATTTTGCATTTCCCTTTTTTCTGTCTGACCTAAAGTTCAAGAAGTTCTAGCTCCTGTTTCTGCCTAAGCTCATCTAAAGCTATTCTAGGACTAGACCTAACATCATCATTAGTCGAATTCAAACCAGAGCCATGACATCGTAAAGCATACAAAGCGACTTGTCATCATTCTGGAGGTACATTCAAAGGTGCCAAGTTTTCCTTCTGCATAGTGGATTTCACAACACCCTTTCCCATGGTGTGGCGAGAAACCGATGTTATTGCAAACTGGCAGCACTGACAAATGTTTATTTCTCAGAATGCCAGCTACTCTCCTGAAGAGAACTACGGAGGGAGCCAGCGACCAGATGGTTCGATTAGTTTTTCGTCCCTAAAATGTTGTTAATGACATAATTTTAGGCTCTTTTATTTCTCTCTTATTTTGTTGTCTGTAGTGAACTCCTTCTTAAACATACTTAGATACCTACATTATTAACATTGGCTTCCTTTTTTATACTTTACTGTATTCCTTCTTTTGTGTATCTACTTGTTCCGACTATATTAGCACTATGAGTATTACAAAATTGTCTTGTCATTAACCATCATGTAATTATTTGTTTTGTGGTTGTTTTTTCTTATTTTTTATTTTTTTCGGCAATATTAACTGACAATCAGTGGTTGTGAACGCCATTAACACCATCTTAAAATTTTGAATTATGAAGGATTACTCACACTACCACTACAAACACCGCATTTGACCTGACAATAAACAAAAAACAACCCTGAAATGTTATTTTATGATTGTTTAGTGTTGTTTCAACCGAATTAACTGATCATCTTGGCGATAAACATTCTTAAATATCATTACATAACTTCTTGTATGACTATAGCTTTACTGTCACCATGCATAATCATATCATAGCTTCCACTACCCAATACTGAGATATTATTATATGCTGTTTATTTTCCTTTCTACTTCTTGGTATTTTTCTTCGCATTTTTTTAATTATTGTCGTGTCTGTTTTTTTGTTGTTGTTTCTATATTTTTTGAAATACTCCTTTTAAATGTTTGATAAAATTAGATGCAAATATTGTAGATATGTGCTGAAAATTTCACACTGTACCGCTAGTACTGTTTCTGGAATAAAGCAAACTATTGTTATTATTATTATGTTATACTATGGATTCGCATCTCAGAATCACTACGGTCCTCCACCAGAGTTTCTTCTGGCTTCAACCTTCGCAAGCATAGTTAACCATCTTTTGGGTCTCAACATGTATGCTATTACTCCGCCCTGACTGTCGGTGCACATAGCGCAAGGTCACATGTCTTCATCATGGGACAGGTCGGTGATGTGTCTTCTGCTTGTATCTTGGAATTTATGTGTGCAACACCAGCAGATTAAAACTTCAATCACAGGGTGATATCGGTTTCTTTATTAACTGAACACGTTTCTACTGTATACAAAGCTAAAACTTCACCAATAAAGATAAGGAGTACAGCGTATTTTTCGCCTCATGGCTAACCTTGAAAGAAGAGGTCGCTGAGATAAAAAAAATAACCACTAGGAACATCTTGTTGCCTGGTTTGCCAAACCTTTCCATATTGGTTTGTTTATTAGATGTATCACACAGTGGAACAGTATTATTTACTGGATGACACAGTTTCGAACACAATTCATTATTGTTCATAATCATTTCATCAATAATAATCACACACGACTTCGAAATTTGAGTTTCATAGTTTTCTTTGTTCTCTCCTATTCGTCGTTGGGGTGGTAGAATTTTCCAGATATCTGGAACAGGTGTTGAGTCATTCCTAATACACGTGATGGTTTGCAGTTGATTCAATAAACAGAACTTCCGATTAGATTTTAAAACTTTCATCTTATCCCATCCAGCCTATTGTATGGTTGTGTGTAATTGCATGTAGTGAGTGCTATAACTGCTGAACTATTCTCTAGATTTCTTATCTTATTCGGGTCAACTAATCTAGATTTTGCTAGGTTCTTATGCTCCACTAGTCTGACTGACTGCACCTGTTCTACTACTTTGACATATGTATTTCATCTGACAATCATCGCAGACAGGGTTTTAGATAAATTAAATTGTTTTGTTTTAAAGGCTCCACAGGATTCACCATTTAACCGACAAAGCTTGTTTCTAATTGAGTTTGTGGGTGGTTTTGAATCCCGGCCACTTTTATTCCTGCCTGCCTTGTTAAGAATTCTGCGTAAGGTTTCCGAGGTCCCTTCCTTGTATGGAATTACTACTGATGATTTAGATTCCTTATTGTTGGTTTTGTCATTATCTTGTGCATGTTCGACATATATGTCGTCATTAATATTATTATTATTATCACTATCACTACTATTGTTATTAATTTTATTTTTACATTTTCCTACATACTTTCTGACTAATTTATCAGGGTAATTATTAAGTTTCAAAGCTTCTCTTATATGCCTCACTTCCTGTCTTAGATTTTCTTGGGTACTACTTAGTTTTTGTGCTCTATCACTTAAACATTTCGCCAATCCTATTTTTACTGACATAGGATGGGATGAATGATCGGAAGTCCAAATATCTGTTTGAATGTGTGGGTTTAACTTCCCATCTTCTCTCCTTTTTCACTACAATCAAAACCTTGGAAGTTCTCCTTCCTGACTTTCCAATTCATCATAAGTGAATTAATGAATCGCCTCCACCTTTGAGTTATAATGTGCTCGAAAAATCTATTTTATCGCCTAACCTTTGTTTGTGTTCCCTAAATCTCAGTTTTTTTTATGTGATCTTGTGAATATGATGAGATGAAAGATGGATTTATTAATTCTTAGGAAAAAAAATCAAAAACAAAACTAAAACAATAAAAGACCAAAGTTTATCGTCATTAATATTATTATTATCATTATCATCCGTTGTTTAATGTGAACACTGTTTTTTTTTCTTAAAAAGCCCTTGAAATTTGATCACATTTTAACCAATTAATTCTGATTATTACAAGCAGCATTAATATTGTTATTATTACAGTGAAATAGATAACCGTATCTAACAGTGTTAACTGTCATGATTACCCAACATTTTGTGAGTAGTATAATTTGTCTAACAGGTGAGGAGTAGTATTTTTATTACGCTTCTCTCTCTCTCTCTTCCCCTTTAGTTATTCATCTCTGTTGTTTTCTCAAAGGATATCAATCGATAAATGAAGAAATACTCAAGGTAAGCGTATCATTATTGCACACATAGAAACATACATGATGTATAAAGTAGTAGTAGTTTACATTCTACGGGTAAAACTCGACTGTTAACCATCTAGTCCTAAGAAGAGTTCTTGGTCGAAGTAGTCTATTTTCGTAATGCAGTATGACACTGGTGTACACTGTAACTGTGATCTACGTTAGGGGACTTACCAGGTCCATTAAACTAGAAGATGTTCTTGGTCTATGTTTTGTGTGTATTTATTATTATTCCCTTGTGGACGATTATTATTATTATTGTTCCCTTGGGTTCCTAGTGGAACATAGGGCTTCAACTACACGTCTCCACTTGCTTCTGTCTTATGCTGTACTTTCCACCTCCATCCATGTTAGTCCATACTGTTTCAACTCCTCTTCACACGATCTCCTCCATGTCACCCTGGCACTGACGTCCCACTCGCCGCTTCCCTTTCGGGTTCCACTCGAGCCATGGCCTGACGCGCGATGTCATCCAGCGGCCTCCTCCTCAGCGAGTGTCCAATCCATCTCCACTTTCTCCTGCATATTTGTTGGTTGGCGATTGGTTCTTGTTTTGTTTGTTCCCATAGTTTCTTGTTGGTGATTCTTTCCGGCCATCTGATCTTCAGTAGTATAGAGCGAAGACAGTTGTTGATGAAGGTCTGCAACAGGCTGTTGGAAATATTCTTTGTGACACACTGGCCAAGTTTCTGATCCGTATAGAAGAACTGACTTGACTTCAAGAACACTTCTCCATTTTGTTCTATTTTTTACCGTCCTCTCCAGCTGGTTCCGTGATTGCCCATAATCTCTCATCTCTTCCTCACACGATCTCCACCATTTCACCTTAGAATGATCCACTCGTCGCTTCCCATTTGGATTCCACTCGAGTGCTGGCCTTGCGTGCGATATCATTCGACGGCTTCCTCAATGTATGTCCGATCCATATTCACTTTCTCCTACATGATTTGTTGAGCGATCGGCTCTCGCCTGTTGGTTTGTTCCCAGCCAGAGTTTCTTGTTGCTTTTTCTTTCTGACCGTTTGATCTTCAGTATGGAGCCAGCAAAGGCAGATGCTGATGAAAGTTTGTAACCTGTTGGAAATCCTTTTCGTGACACACTGGCCAAGTTTCTCACCCGTATAGAAGAACCGACTTCACATTTGTGTTGAAAATGCGAATGTTGTTCCTAATGCTGAGTAAGGAAGATTTCCAAACTGGTTTCAGGTTGATGAGGGCATATCTTGCCTTTCCGATCCTGGGCGGTTTTGACATCATCTGTTCCGATTGCCTGTGGTTAAAACCGTGCTTCTCAGAAAAGTGAAGAAAGGAAGTCACCTCTTTCAAGTTTCTCCCGTTGATGTTGGTTGATGCTGGTTGTTGTTGCTGCTGTAGGTTGGTTATCTTCATCACCTCCGTCTTCTCTGTGTTCACCTGGAGTCCTGTCTTCACTAGCTGCTTCTTCCGCCAGTTTGTTGGTTTTCTCTTGCTAGTCTTCGAGTTTGTGTGACATTAGACGTATATCATCTGCGAAATCCAGATCTTTTAGAGTCTTCTTATCGGTCGTCCAGCGTATTCCTGACTCCTCGTCCCCAACAGTCTGACGCATAATCCAGTCCACCACAATTAAGAATATCATCGGTGATAATAGACAGCCATCCCTGTCTTACTCCTGTATGCACTTCGAACGCCTCGCTGAGTTTTCCGTTGTAGGTCACCTGACAGATGGCATTATCATATAGCCAGCTGTTGAATGAGGTTGACAAAGACTTGAGGTACGCCGTAGTGTTGAAGTAGTTTCCAAATTACTTCTAGGCCAACACTGTCTGTCGAAGGCCTTTTTGAAGTCGACGAAGTTGAGGTAGAGGTATACTGCCATTCTATGCTTTGTTCTGTGATGACGATTCGTCGAGTTGCAGTTTGATCAGCACATGATTTGACTTTCCTGAATCCAGCTAGCTTGTTCCGGTTGGTGGTGGAGTTCTGCATCCAGTGCATCCTTTATTCTCCCCAGGACGATGCGACTTAGTATTTTACCTGGCATGGACAAGAGCATGATTCCATGAGAGTTCTTGCACAGGCCTAAGTCGCCCTTCTTTGGCAGTTTGACGAGGTAGCCCTTCTTCCAATCAGTAGACACCTTTCCTTCTTTCCAAACCTTTTGCAATAATGAAGTGAGAACATCTGTGGTAATTTCTGGGGCCGTCTTCAGTGCTTTGGGAGGAATTCAGTCTGGTCTTGCTGCCTTTACTACTGGCATTCAGTAGCTTGATCGCATTCAGGATTTCTTCTTTCTTTGGAGGAGTGGTGTCCACCGGCAGTTCTGTGCGTGCTGTTGCCGGTGGCGGTCGATTCAAGAGTCCTTTAAAGTGATCAGCCCATTGTTTGATTTGCTTCTCTTCCTTGGTGATCAAGTTCCCTTGAGCATCTTTTATTTGTTTCGTCATCTGAGTTGATCTCTTCCCGGATAGAGACTTGGCTTTCTGATATAGTGTCCTGATGTCTCTTTTGCCTGCAGCTAGCCTGTTCTGCTTCAGTTTCCAGCTAGTGTGTCGTAGAATTGTCTTTTGTCTTTCCTAGCCCTCTTCTTCACTTCTTTTATTCAGTGCAGTGTACATTGAACTCAGCTTCTCCTTCTGTTGTCCATCTTTGCATTGAGTCATCTTCTCTTTCACCATCCTTCTCTCTGGTGCGTAATAAACGTCAGATATAATCATAAAGGCTGACCCCACGACTGTCCGTAGACTCATCAGACGCTGAACTCATCCTTTCACCTCCATGTCTTATTAAAGGATTTTCCTACTGTGTGATGTTACTCAGCGTGTGTCCCATTCATCTTCATTTTCTTGGCTAGTTCTTTCCCAGAGTTTCTTGTTGCCAATTCCTTCTGGCCAGTGAAGGCAACACTGTTGACGAAAGAGTGAAGCTTTTTTGATTGAACACTAGTCAGTAACTAGTGTATTGTGTCTAGTCCTATCTTCGGTGCAGACTGAATTCTATCAGTCAAGAACACAATGTGGCCACCATGCCACTAAGTGGCTCACCATCACGGGGCACTTGGAATTGTTGATATTAGACAGTTGGAGGCAATCGGCCACAGGAAGCATTGGACCTGGGTTTCGTGCTAGTTGTCAGTCATCAGCAAGGCGCATCTGCAACTTCGATAGATAGAATTCAGTCTGCACCGAAGATAAGACTAGACACATTACACTAGTTACTGACTAGTGTCCAATCAAAACTAACCAATACAGTCCTACAGGAGGTCAATCGCGGGCCTGAACAGCTCAGTGGTGACGTCTCTGACTGCAGGCGGCACTGGGACATGAGTCCCTTCGAGGCTGCAGATACGCCTTGCTGACGAGTGCCAACTAGCACGAAACCTAGGTCAAGCAAGGCTTCCTGTGGCCGATTGCCTCCAACCATCTAAGAGTGAAGCTTGTTGAAAACGTCCTCAGTGACTTGCGGAGTTTCTGACCCGAATAGCAATGGTTACTGACTTGATATATAAGTGTTAAAAATCCGAATTTTGTTCCTTATGATGTGTGCAGCGAATTCCTACACTGGTTTCTGTTTTGTCTTTCCGACCGTGGATTTAACATTCTCATCCGTTTCGCCTGTATTTGAAACGACGGTGTGAAGTGAGCGACCTCTTTCAAATTTCTTCCGCTGGCTGATAGTGATTGGCACTTGTACTCATCACATCTGTCTTCTCTATATATGGCCATTTGAAATTCCGTCTTCGCTGCTTCTTCTGATAACTTATTTGATTATCGTGTATAGATTTTAGATTTTGTGTGACATTATATATAAATTGTTCACGGAGTCGAGGTCTTCTTGCAATAGTAAGCGATGTAATGCTTTTCCCTCTTATGATGTTAATGCTCTTAATCAATCTTTTATACGCTGTCCTTCTACTTTAACTAATTCCAATGTTACTAATCATGTAGCTGACAACTTTCATGACTTTTATGCTCTCGGTGTTCTAAAATGTCTTAAAACGCTCAAGCCCTCACGCAGCCTTGGCCCTGATGGTATACCTGCATATGTTCTAAAACAATGTGCAGATGCATTATGTTCTCCACTAACTAACATCCTAAATGCTTCTTTCGCCAAAAATGTCGTACCTGTTGCATGGAAAGACATTAAAATAGTCCCTGTTCCTAAACCTGGAAATAGCAAGAACGTAAAGTTCAGACCCATTACCATCACTTCCCCCTTTTCTAAAGCTTATGGAAAAACTAGTACTTCTTAAACTTGAACCCTCCCTTAAAGGCTTTGAGCACCCCAAACAATTTGCCTATAGATAGGGTAGGAGCACTTTAGATGCTGCAGCCGTCTTACACAACAGTATCGTCTCATCATTAGGTAAAGGTGCCAAATACGTTTGTTGCACGTTTCTCGACTTCACTTCTGCTTTTGACTCTGTACCTAGATGTCTCTTGCTAAATAAGCTCTCTATGACAAAAATTGAGTCCTGAGTCACTAAGTGGTTGCATTCCTACTTCTCTAACAGAATGCAGTACGCTGTATACAAAACTAAATCCTCCTCTGCTGCGCTCACTGAAGCTGGTGTCCCCCAAGATGCTGTACTCTCCCAACTTCTCTTTTCTTTCTTTTTTTCTACATGACTTACCATCTTCAAATGACATTAATTTCGTTAAATATGCTGACAGTCTGACAGTATCTTTGCCTGTCAAATGTCAAAGTGACTGCTCTAAACTAAATGGCTTTCTGTCAGAAATCAGCCAGTGTTCCAAGGAAAACGGTCTGACCTTAAACCCCTCCAAATGCCAAACAGTCAATTTCACCTTTAGGCATAAATCCGACCTAAACAAACTGGTTGGCTCTCACGAGGTGTGCAACATAGATGGCACTGAAATAGAAACCAAATCGGAAATTAAATACCTAGGCGTCATTCTATCTGTTGATCTCTCATGGTCGTCTCATATCTTGATGATTTCTAAGAAAATATTCCGTCTTTCCTTCTACATCAAGAAGTTAAGAC